GCCTAAAGAATAAGGTGGAAAATGAACAGTTTTACTGTTTTAACATCTTGGAATTACAATGTGACTTTAAACATGTTTCCAGGAAATATGGTCTTTTATTATGAATGGAACCCTTTGGTTTGACAGTTTAGGCTGTTTATCCACACATTATACAGACCTTAGATTTTCCAACAGCAGTATTTAATAGGGTTACGCTGTGTTCGCTGATATAAAAAGTCAGCTTTCATTAAGAGTCTATGATTAAGTAGAGGTTTAAGTGTTTGCTCTTGTAAAGAGAGCTATTGTGCTTACATCCTTGAGCTTTCTTTTCCCCAGTTTTTGTTTTTTTTTTAGGATGTGATCCCTTGGGACAAAAACTCTTTAAACAACACTCTCCTTTAATTTTACCCAGACCAAGGAAATGGCTCAGGTTACACACAGCTGGCATACCGGGCTTATCAGTAAGGATCACAAATAAAATTAGATCTGCACAGTCACACCCTGATACACAGCATTCTGAGATCAAGGGCAATTCAAGTTTACAGAGTATTCTCTGTTAAGAATTCTAATAATGATTGAACTTTATTGATCTCACATTGGAGAAATTTTTTTTTTCCAATATATTTTTATTCAAAAAAGTACAAAGTAAGGTACATAAAAATACAGTAACATGAATTGAATTTGTTTTATCTTTTAACAACCAAACCCCACCCCCCCACCCACATTCAACGAGAGAAAAAAAAAACAAAAAAAAAAAAACGTGTCAATAATACAACAATTGGGCTTCATCAATTATATTATATATATACATACGTATACACATATATACATACATGCACATATACACACACACATCTACATCCCAGGGCTCCATAGGCTTATGGATGTAACTCTATATTTTTAAGATTTTTAAAGTACTCCATCATGGGGTCCCACGCCCTGTGGAATTGTCTTGTGGAGCCTCTAATAAAGTATTTAATTTTTTCTAATTTCAAGAGAAACATTAAATCAGTGAGCCAGACCGAGACTTTAGGTGGTTCAGATGATTTCCAGAGTAAAACTATACGTCTACGAGCTACCAAGGAAGCAAAGGCAAACGCATTCATTTGATCAGTGGATAACATGTGCTCCTCAAACAATACTCCAAAGATGGCCATTCCTGCAAACGGTTTGATGTTGGTATTAAATGCTTCATTCAGTGTTTTACAGATGGATGACCAAAATTCGGTTAGTTTCGGGCAATTCCAAAACATATGGGTCATATTTGCTGGAGCAGAATGACACCGCTCACACCTGTCATCAATGTCCTTATAAATTTTTGAAAGTTTAGATTTGGTATAGTAAGTTCTATGGAGGATTTTTAACTGTATAAGGCTAAGCCGTTCGCAGGACGATGTTCCATTGACTCTTTTCAGAGCACGTTCCTAGAAATGTTCAGAAATAACAGAGCCAAGTTCTTCAGACCACGCAATTCTAAGCTCATCTAGTGTTGTTTCCCGAAGAGATGTTATGATATTTGAGATGTTTGCAATGTGCCTCCTGAGACACAAAGGGTTACGCAAAATCCTCTCAAGCCCCGAGTCCGCCGGAGAGGCCGGAAATGCTGGACTTTGACTTTGAATAAAATGACGGACCTGGAAATATCTGAAAAGATCAGTTTTTTGTAAATGGAATTTGACCGAAAGGTCAGTGAAGTTGGCAAAAACACCATCTATATAAAAATGGTCACAAGTTTCCAAACCATTTCTCCTCCATTGAGCGAAGGTGTGATCCATCCTGGCAGCCGGGAAAAGGTGATTGTTACAAATAGGGCTATATATAGAAAATTCTTTTAGATTAAAATGTTGTCTGAATTGTATCCATATCCTAAGAGAGGAAGATACTACAGGATTATGGGTGAATTTAGAGGGTGAAAGTGGTAATCCTGTAGTGACCAAAGCAGAGAGAGAGGAAGAGGTGCAGGAATTTGCTTCAATCCTACACCAATCCAGCTGCGGGTTTTGATACCAATATATAATTTTTTGGATATTAGATGCCCAGTAATAGTTTCTCATATTAGGTAAAGCCAGACCAGCTTTATCTCTGGGCCTTTCTAGATACTCTCTGCGAACTCTAGCATTTTTATTTGCCCAGAGAAAAGAGGAGAATAATTTATTTAAAGACTGGAAAAAAGACCTAGACAGAAATATTGGAAGAAACTGAAACAAATACAAAAAGCGGGGTAGTACATTCATTTTTATGCAGTTAATTCTACCCGGAAGAGATAAGTAGAGACCGGACCATCTTTGAAAATCAGCCTCCAATTTAAGCAGGAGAGGTTTGAAATTCTTTCCATAGAGATCAGAGAACGTACGGGTGATGTGTACACCTAAATATTTAAAACCGGACTTTGATATATGAAAGGGGAACGCATTGTCTGGTAGTTGAAGGGCTAGGTAGTTAACTGGGAAGCATTCACTTTTAGAATAGTTTAATTTATAACCTGAAAAACTTCCAAAGTCATTAAGAATATTGACAATAGTAGGAATAGATGACACTGGGTCAGAAATATACAACAGTAAGTCATCAGCATATAAAGAAATTTTAAGTTCAGTATCAAACCTGCGAATACCGAGAAAATTGGGGGTTGTTCTTAATTTTATTGATAAAGGCTCGATAGCTAATGCAAATAAGAGTGGGCTTAGAGGGCACCCCTGGCGTGTCCCCCTTGAGAGAGAAAATAAATGGGAAGATATCTTATTTGTAAGAACAGATGCTTTGGGTGATGTATATAACAGGCGTATCCAGGTTATAAAATTTAGACCAAAGCCAAATTTTTCCAGTACAGTAAACAAATAATTAAATTCCACTCGGTCAAATGCCTTTTCCGCGTCCAGAGAGGCAACTACTTCAGGAATCTCCCCAGACGCAGGGGAATAGAGGACATTTAAAATTTTGTGAATATTTGTAAAAGGCTGACGACCCTTTATAAAACCAGTTTGGTCTGTTGAGACGATGTTGGGTACAACATTCTCTAACCTTGATGCTAGCAGTTTGGCTAAAACTTTGACATCAACATTAAGCAAAGATATAGGTCGATATGAGCCACAATCATTTGGGTCTTTGCCTGGCTTTAAAAGAAGTGAAATGGAAGCCTCTGTTAGAGTTTGTGGTAAATGGTTCTGATTAAATGAGTGATTAAACATTTCAAGTAGCAGGGGAGCAAGTTGAAGAGAAAATTTTTTATAAAACTCAACGGTGTAACCGTCAGGTCCAGGTGATTTGCCATTCTGCATTTTATGAATGGAATCTATAATCTCTTGTAGCTTTATGGCTTCCTCAAGGCTGCCTTTGACTTGTGCATCTACTCGTGGTATATTAATATTATCTAAAAAGCCAATCATTTTGGATTTATCTTGCGGGGGACAAGATGTGTACAGTTTAGAATAAAAATCCTGAAAGGTGTTGTTTATCTCTATTGGGTCAACGGTAAGGGATTGTGGAGTATTACGTATCTGAGGTATTAGACGGGACGCAGATTTACATTTAAGCTGATAGGCCAAAAGACGGCCTGCCTTATCCCCATGTTCATAATATTGTCCTTTTAACCAAAGTTGGTGTTTTTCAGTTATTTCTGTAGACAAAAGATCATATTGGGTCGTCAATGTAACCTTTTCCTTATATAAGTCGGGTGTTGGAGTAATAGAATATTGTTGGTCGATTTGTTTTAACGATACTAAGAGATCGTTTGCTTTTTGCTTTCTTTCTTTACTCCGTGAAATAGAATAAGAAATTATCTTCCCTCTTATAACTACTTTAAGTGCTTCCCACAATATGGATGGGGATATGGAATCAGATCTGTTAAAATATATGAACTCATCAATTTCTTTACCAATGAATTCACAGAAATGACTGTCTGATAGTAAAGATGTGTCTAATCTCCAAACTCTTGTTTGTGTGACATTTTGAGAGAACAAAATATCTAGGGAGACCGGCGCATGGTCAGATTCAACAATAGTATTGTATTCAATTCTCTTTGTAAAAGGGAGAAGTGTCTTGTCAATGAGGAAAAAATCGATACGACTGTATGTGTGGTGAACATGTGAGAAGTAGGAGAATTCTTTTTTGTTAGGATTAAAGAACCTCCATGGGTCAACCCAACCTGCCTTTCAGCAAACTCACCAAGAGCAAGAGACATTTTAGAGCGGGATAAGTTTTTAGGGCTAGAGCGGTCCATAGCTGGGTCCATAACCGTGTTGAAGTCCCCCGATAGAATAAGACTATGTCTATTAAGGTCTGGGAGAAGAGAAGTGAATTTATGTATAAAGCCCACATCATCCCAGTTCGGGGCGTAAATACTAGCTAGAATTACAGGAGAGTTAAACAGCGTCCCAGATACTATCACAAATCGTCCCTGGGAGTCAGAGATAACCCGAGATGGTGTAAACAATGTTTTTTTGTGGATCAGGATGGCTGCCCCTCGTGCCTTATTGTTAAAGTTAGAGTGGAAAATCTGTCCAAACCAATTCCTCTTAAGCCTGAAATGATCTGCTATTTTCAAATGAGTTTCCTGTAAAAATATTATTTCTGCGTTCAGTCTCTTTAAGTGAGAGAAGATCTTTACTCTCTTTTTAGACCCATTCATCCCTCTCACGTTCCAGGTAATGAAAACAGTATTCCCCACACCTTCACTGCCTTCTGGAATGTTTATAATCCTCAAGTTGTTGCGGCGTGACCTGTTTTCCAAATCCTCAATACGATCCAAGAGTGCAGCATTTTGGCCTTTTAAAGCTTTAACAGCAGATTCGGCAGCACATATCTTCTCGAAATTATCGCGCGCGAGTGATTCTGAAGCGGTTAGGCATTGTTGTATAGAGCCCACCGTTTCTGTCAGAGCACTCACCAAAGCTTGTAACGGCACCAGTGATTCTTGAATGAGGGTGGAGATGTCTTCTTTTAAACTTTCTCGTTGCTTGGCTAACTCTTGTACTAGTTGGGTCATAGTTAATCCATCGCCTTTGGAAGGGCTAGCATCGGAAGCCATGGTGGCTGGCTTGCTAGCAATGGCTTTCCGCGTCGTTATCGAGGAGGATTGTTTTTGCTTGGAGGTAGCCATCAACCGGCCAAAGTCGTCCAAAACGGTAATGTGTACAAGATACGTCAATTCTGTGGTAAATATATAAGGTTTGGTCTCATAAGTTAGAAATTGGGTCAGAGCTCTTCACACTCGCTGCCTACTCCTTCATGACCCAAACCGGAAGTCCACATTGGAGAAATTTACCTCTGCTTTTAACCCATCCCCTTGGGGATGTAATTACAGTAACTGCCATCGTGGGCTTGCACTCAGAACCTCAGGATTGCAAGCACCATGCCCTAACCAGGCCGCCACTCCCCTTTATTCGCTCCTATATTTTATGATGTTACACCATGTGTAGGAAAATTATGTAATATAGTAAACAGATTGGTAACATATGGGTTTCAACAAGCTTATACATAAATGACAATGAATAATTCCAACACTATAAATGTGGAGCTAAATAAAAACTAGTCCATCAAATTATATTAAACCTCTGACCAAAATGCCATATGTTTCCCATAAGTGTGTGTTACATGCTTTCCATTTTCTTTGCTGCTGTTCTCTGAGTTTCATTTTTCATGAAACAGGCTGGGTTAAAACAAAGGACAGTTTCATTTCACTGGAAGAGTGTTTAGCTTAACTAAGGAGGAAAAAGGGAGGGACTACTGTTGTGGTGGAGGAATAAGAATTGAGGGTATAAACAACATGAAGCTGGAGCCAAGAGCAAGACCTTTTTTTGCAGTGAAAGTAGAGTTGAGCCAGCTTTTATTTATCTAGGTTTTCTATAATATCTTTTCCAACATGGATTCAGACTCATCTAAAGGTTAGTATGTTTTTGTTCCTAAGGAGACTTATTCATGTTTTTGTCAGTCCTTAGTTATAACTTCCTGGATCTAAACCACTCTTTAACTCTTTAACACATTTTTTCTGGTTCTTGCAAAGATGTAAGAATTGTCCTCCTGGGAAAAACTGGATCGGGCAAAAGTGCAACAGGGAACACCATCCTGGGAAAGAAGGCTTTTATTGACGACTCGTCTCCTTCGTCTGTGACTAAGGAATGCAAAAAAGCAACTCATCACCTGAATGACAGAAAAGTGACAATCATTGATACTCCGGGGATGTTTGACACAAAGCTCCCTGAGGAAGACTTGAAAAAAGAAATAGAGAAATGTATCATGCTGTCTCTTCCTGGACCACATATATTCTTGCTTGTCATCAGTCTCGCTGTACGCTTTACAGAGGAGGAGAAGAATACAATCAAGTGGATAACAGAAAACTTTGGTGAGGAAGTCTTAAAGTACACAGTTGTTGTTTTCACCAGGGGTGACGAGCTCAAAGACACCATTGAGAAACATGTGCAGAAAAGTGAGGATCTGAAGAAGCTCACTAATGACTGTAATGGTAAATATGTTGTGTTTGAGAACAACAACAGTGGAAATCGCACTCAGGTGAATTATCTATTTGAGACTCTAGACAAGGTGATACAATTGAATGGAGATTATTATACCATTGAAATGTACAATGAGGCTCAGAAGAAACTATGGTGGTGTTGGCTTGGACAACAAGCGGGAAATGCAGGAAGTCGCTTAATGTGGGCAGCAGGAGGAGCAGCTGCATTTTCAGTTGGTGGTGCAATGATGGCAGGGGAAACTGCTTCTGCAGGTTTGCAAGTTGCAAACATAGCCACTCTAGGAGGTGAAATGATTATGAAAAATGTTGGATGGTTTCTCAGAAGATGACCTGTTTGTAGTCTTACCTAGTGGCTGAGTTTGACATTGCTAAAAAGTGACTGCCATGCACATTTTCTTTGTATTCTAAAAAAATAACAATGATTTTAATGTGTTGTCTACTTTTTGACAAAATTTTACTTTTATTCTAAACATAATTAAAAAATATTAAGAATCTTTTAAATTCATAATCACTCATTTAAATTATGTATGAATTATGTATGAATCTGTTGGGAAAGATTTCTATATTTGTCAATTTAACTGAAAATTAATAATAAATCAAATAAAGGGCTAAGGCTGATATTGTTTTGTTGTTCACTTTTCAATCCATGAAGTCCTGGAGAGATCAAATCTAAAGGTTTGACATCAAGAAAAAAAAGTTGCAAAGTCTGTAGAAATGTAGAACACCTGAGATGGGAGAAAATATAATTGCCAAAATTCAAATACAGCACATAGGACATTGCTGAAGCAAGATGGTGGAGTGAGCGCACATGACAACTGCAGGTCCAACATAATATGCTAAAGTAACACCCAGCTTATTGTATCAAAGTCAACAGATACCTCCAAAGTAATTATAAGTCTGATGGAATGTAAAAGAGAATGTTTTGAGATGCATTGTGTTGAGAAATACAGCTGGAACAGCTAACACGACAGGATTAGCCTTCAGTATGACAGATTCAAGTGAGGTTTGTTTTGATTACCTGGTCGAAAAAAGAAACAAATGGAAATGCAGAGGGGAATTGAAGAAGCAAGGTGAAACTAAACAAGTCTAAAAGGTGCTTTTAAATTCCTTAAACTATACCAATTACACGTGTCTGATTTGTATTTAATTGAAAAGCACAAATGAAGCTTGAGCAAATATTCAACCTGGAAGACTCTTTAACAGCCTCACCTGGACCACCTGCTGATGCACCTGCCTCAAGCACCAGTCAATCAATGATGGACAGCATCCCCTACTAATCTAAGTATCATCCAAGACTCTCTTCATTAAACTTCCTTCTAGTGAGCCTCCTTCCTGCTCACTAGACGAACCCTTATCGACCTCACTGTCTGCCTCACAAACAGTTACACTCAAGATCCCTCTATTGAGTTATTAATCCAAACTGTTCTTTACACAACATCAAAGTCTTAAGTCTTCAAAGTTCTGCAGGTGGGGATCACAGACCACTTCTCAGTACATATGCTTTCTGTCTGATGTTTTGGTCACTCTTGGATGCTGGTGGTGCTTTCACAGACGTAGCACTCTACCACCCTCACAAGTGGCTCAGGCAGTGCAGCTCATGCAGGAGGGCACATCAATGCGGTTTACTCTCTGTCAGCGTAGCGTCCAGAGGCTGGAGAGGCACTACCAGGAGACAGGCTAGTACATGTGGAGGAGGCCAAAGGAAGGCAACAAACCAACACAGGTGCATTCGAGTTTAACAGTGCCTCTCTTGGTTTGTGGTTTAGGGCTGTGCTGATGGGCGGGGATAAATTTCTTCAATGAAGTTTGAAATAAATGTAATAAAAAGAACCAAAGAACTCCATAAAATGGCTACAGAAAACAAAAGCTGGAGATTTTAAATCTTTTCAGAAAACATGTTTTTGTTTCAAGCTGAAATAAAACAAACAGTAAATTGTTTCTCTAGAACTATATTGAGTACCTAAGCAGCGGTGCAATTATTAGTAATATCTACAAAATGAGGAGTGAGTGGAGTTTTTACCCATTGTTTAACAATTCCTTTCAACCAATGTCACTATAAATACATGACAGGAAACAGTGGTAGGTCATAATTAGGTCAGCTGAGTAGGAAATCTGTTGAGTGTTTTTTCTCTAAGGATATGAACGTTTAAATTAAGGGACTAATTATCTACAGTACATCACATATGCTCAAGTATTTTTTTTTATTATTGAACAGTTAAACAAGTAAGAAAGCCTTTTTTTAATTGTGAGAAAACAAATGACAGCGAGAAAAAAATTCAGTCCAAACCAAGCACTTTCAATTAATACCATTACTTTGTTGTTATGTAGTTCTTTTCTTTTCTGATTTTATTAAAAATATTGTAAAATCAGAGGCAATGCTTTATCACAGACATCATTGATTTTCACATTTTTAAAAGTAAAATATTTTGCATGACAGAAAATATTTCAGTGACACAGATAATTTCAAACTTGTTGCAAGGTCAAATAATAATCTAGCTGTGGGTCATTTTTCCGCGTTGTACATTGAAGAGGTTTATTTTGGTCTGTGAAGTTAATTTAAAAATTAAATCCAACAGTTTTGGGAAAAAAGGGTGTTTGCTAATTTAAATGTTTTTGTAATCTAGTTTGACTTTGTTCCACTAAAAAATCTGAACACCAGAAAAGGTTGGAAAATATATATCAATATTAGCTAATTTTGCTGTCAGAGATGATCACATTATGCTTATTACACTGGACTGTTCTTTTTAGCATTGCATTTCATTCCTTTCCACAAGACAACTGCTGTCAAACCACATAAAATACCCAGGAGAAGTGTTGGAGCTCCCAGAGCCAGAGCCACAGTGGTGTTTGCTGCTACTGCAATAACCACCCCAGCTAAAACCAACAGAACAGCAACAGCTGAGGCCACACGGATGTTCTTCTTCCGAACTTGTTTCTTCTTCTCTCGTTCTTTTTGCTGTTTCTCCCTCTCCTCATCCCAGACCTTCCTTTCTTCTTTCTTTTTCTCTTGCTCTTCCTGTCTCCTCCGCTCCTCCTCCTCTCTTAGCATCCTCTGGGCTTTCTCATACATCTCGTTTGTGTAGTGTTTCCCTCCATTGTCTTGTACCATTTCCTTGATCATGTTGATAAGCTCTGTGACCTGCAGACGGTCATCTGCGTCATTGTTGTTGAAGGCATGGTACCTGCGACCAAATGTAATTGAGAGTCTCCGGAGCTCCTTGCACTCTTTCAGGGCATTGTCTGCTTTACCTTGATCCTTGCATGTAAACAACATGATAGTGTACATGGATGCATCATCTCCAAAGTTTTCCTGGATCCACCTCACAGCATTCCTTTCCTCCTCTGTGAACCTGACTCCAAGTCGGATCACCAGGAGGAAGGCATGAGGTCCAGGCACCGACATTTTGACACATTCCTCTATCCTGAGTTTTAGTTCCTCCTCTGCAACGCCTGTATCGAACAGCCCTGGAGTGTCAATCACTTGAACTGGAATCCCATCTACCTCTCCGCTCTGTGTCTCACAGTGTTTGGTCACAGACATCGGACTTGGATCCTCTTTGAAGGCACTTCTCCCCAGGATGGTGTTACCTGTGGCACTTTTCCCTGATCCAGTCTTTCCCACAAGGACAATCCTCAACCCTCCAGACAAATCCAGATCTGCCAATCAAAGAAGGTACCACATCAATACTTTAACCAAAGACAAATTACATATGTAATTTGTGGATTTTATCTATATGCTATTATTAGCTTTACTAAACTTTGTTTTTGGTCACTAGTAAAAACTGTTTGCCTAAGTTTGGCCCTTAATTAACCATAAACAAACAGAACGTCTACAAGCCTATCGTATACTGTTCTCAGGTATAAATCAGCAAACCAATTTGGACCATTGTCTAAAGGGTTAGGGTTATTCCCAGGTTAGCGATGGCCTCCTCAAAGATTCTCAAAAGGACTGGTGGTGAATATACCTTTCACAAAATGATGCAAACTTCACCACCAGATAATAGACATGCATTTTCTGTTCATTTACCTGATTCCAAATAAAAAATCTAATTGTTAAACTTGTGGTGGAAAAAGTGCAATGTCAATATTTCTACCATGCTAATAATGGATTTAAATCAATTTTCCTGTATTTATGATTTAATCTTAAATGGCATCTCTACTCTCATCAATCTAAATGAATTGTTTTTTTAATTTTCTCAGATTTTTCTATTGTTTGATTTCTTAGCTTGTTTTTTCTGTGTCTTACATGTATTTAGACCATTATCTTAATTTTGTATTACTCTGATAGCAAGATGCTTTCGCATTAGTTTTAACTGTATATTGAACAGTTTCGAGAGTTGAAAGTGTAGCTTATGAAGAGAATAACAAATGAGTGTTCCTCAGATGGACTCTGACTTCTAGAGCAAATAAAATATTTTTTTTTCTTTCACTACAATGTTTTGGTTTTTATATCTTCAAGTAAAATTCTGCAACCCTAACCAAATCATTTAAGAAACTAGTTCTTCCTGTTTCCACCTAATTTTAGATAAGATGAACCTACCTCTATAGTACAGGGATTTGTACTGCCTACTTCAACGGTATAACCTTTACTTGAGAAGCCCTCTTTTGATGTAGATAACTTTTATTGTTAAAATTTCGTTTTGTACATGACATTTCCATGTCTTAAAGTGCAGCAGTGATCAAATGCAAACATTGTGGGAGAAAAAAAAAATTGTGCAAAACAACATTAATATGGTCAGTTTGATGCAGAGTCTTTGACATGATTTAGAGTTTTTTCAACATTCAGCTTTCCATGTCCATGTTGGGGTTGTGAGGGGTCATTGATAATGTTATGGGCTTGGGACACGCAGCGCTGGGATGAAATGTCTTTTCTAGAGGGAGGAGGAGCCCAGATGATCTTCTTTGCTGTTCTCATCACTCTTCTCACTTTCTTCCAGTCTGAGATGCTGCAGCCTCCACACCATACAGTGAGACAGCTGGTCAGAGCGCTCTCTATGGTGCTTCTGTAGAAGGTGGTGAGGATGGGTGGGGGCAGGTGGGCTCTCCTCATCCTCCGCAGGGAGTACATGCACTCTTGTGCCGTTTTGACACCTGAGTGATGTTGTCAGTGATGTGCACCCCCAGGAATTTGGTGCTGCTGACCACCTCTACAGCTGAGCTGTTGATGACCAGTAGAGCGTGGTTAGGCCGGTTCTTCCTGAAGTCGACGATGATCTGCTTCGTTTTCTCCACATTCAGGATCAGATGTATTAGATTCAGTCGATTACAAGATTCTTTTACAAAGGCCTAAATCTGCTTTAGGAATTAAGGTAACAGCACTAGATTGAGTGCTTTAGGGCAATGTTTCCCAAGCTTTTTTGACTTGTGTTCCCCTTTGGTCATTTTGTCTTATCATGAGTACCCTTCTCAGTCTAAAGTACTGATGATTGTCCAAAAGTGGAACCTACAATAACTGATCATGAAATAAATACTATTTTACTTTATTTTTTCATTCTCAAAAACAAAAAACAAAAACATCAATATGTTGATAAATAGATAGATAGATAGATAGATAGATAGATAGATAGATAGATAGATAGATAGATAGATAGATAGATAGATAGATAGATAGATAGATAGATAGATAGATAGATAGATAGATAGATAGATAGATAGATGATAGATAGATAGATAGATAGATAGATAGATAGATAGATAGATAGATAGATAGATAGATAGATAGATAGATAGATAGATAGATAGATAGATAGATAGATAGATAGATAGATAGATAGATGGTAGCTGTCTAACTATCTATAAATATAAATATCAGAGTATTTTATTTATTCTTGTGTTCTCAACAATAGGAAAGCATTCAGAAAATACTAAAACCTAATGAAAGCGTTTGGGTCACCCGTATAGCGTCCCCATCAACTTTCATTGCAAGGTTTCACTTTTGATAACACTTATAAAACTGGGCCCACTCCTGAACTAGCTGTTATTCCTGCGACTAATTAACACGCAACGCATTAACATAAATGCTGATACACAGAATGTGCAGATACACAGGTTAGACTCTCGTGCATCTGCGGTTTAAAAGAGGTGCAAATGAATTCTATTTAGAATATAATTTTCCTTATAATGATTTAACATGAATTGAAAGACAACTTCAAAAGTTGTATCTTTAAAATCTCAAGCAATAACCCTTTAAAAATTATGTGTTTTACTTCCTATTTGTTTATTTCTATTTATTTGGTTTTTTGATTTTGACACAAATGTTACACTGAACCATAGAACCAAGGTTATTTAGCTGCAATTACTGCTTTTGGATGTCTAAAAAGTCCTAATATTTAACTCAATATGATAATTGTTATGTGTCTAAGCTAAGAAAATATAGTAGTCATAATAACAATTAAGTTAACTTATGTTTCTTTATGTAAACACTGTTACTTTTGTGCAATAAAAGCACAGTTATGCAGATTTAGCGAGTAAAGACAGAAGATAAGAAACATACCGTCAAAGCTATGGAGACCACACCCATCAGACCGAGGCAAACTTTTTGGCTTCTTCTCCCTAAGTTGTATTTCTGGCACACAAGACATAGAAATTAGTACAGTGTTAGCTGTAGACATATTGACAATAGCTTTTAAGAGATGCATTTCTTTCTGTTTTCCCTCTTTTATTTTTTTGCCCTCAGTGTGACATTATGGTGTTTCATCTCACACTGACCGAAACATCCATAAGGGTAACGTTATTGGGATGAAAGTTTATTCTCTTACCTTCAGCCATTACTTTTAGATCCACCTTTTCCTTATCCCAGGTGACCAAATTTGTTCCAGCAGATCTGAGTACTTAATAATTTCAGAAAAGTGGGCTCCAGAGCTTCAGATTGCTGTTTGAAGAGAGATCTGGCACTCCTCACTAAGTACTGGGAGCTTCCCATTTCCTTCCATTGTCTTTGCATCTGAAAATGGGAAAGCTTGCAGAAGCTGTTTATGGCTTTCTGGATGTTTTAAAACATCACGTCAAATGCTTGATTTTAATTTTCTTCTAAAGTAAAAAAAAAATAAAAATCATAAAACTAAAGATCTTTAGTTTCCTCGCTGTATCTTTATAAGGCCTATTTCTTTCTCATGGGGCAGCTGGGCTGCATGGTGTGTCACATCCTTCCATTGTTCACATCTCTGACAATCACAATTAAGTCATCTTTATTTCTGAAGGCAGGAGTTTGTGCAAAACATGTGTTATTTATTCAAAAAGAAAAAAAAAATCATCCAGTTTTTGAGTTCAGCCAGTCTTGGGGATGTCCAGTAAACCTGCTGTCTCCCTAGAATTACAGGAAGCACATGTCCTCACTTCCAAAGGTCCTATTTGAGTATTTCTACAACTGGGCTTACATCTTCCAGTTGTGTCATGGGTTTTTCATTAATATATATGTATATATATATATATATATATATATATATATATATATATATATATATATATATATATATATATATATATATATATATATATATATATATATATATATATATATGTGTGTGTGTGTGTGTGTGTGTGTGTGTGTGTGTGTGTGTGTACCTTTCCCACAACTCTAAATACGTTTTCAACAGTTATTTTATTGAATTTTTAAAACTGTCTCTATATAGTGTCTAGAATCCCAACAAAAAAAGCTATCATTCTTATATTGCAGGTGGAAAAATTGCTTACTTTAGCGACATGAATATTCTTAAAAAGATGTCTTCAGCATGGCTACAGCAGCTCAGAGTAAATACTTTAACCCAGAACTTTTGTTGTCCTCACATACTCAGACCGATTTAGGGATACCAAGAGTCATGTTTTGGGACTTTGGGAAGAATAGCATGCAAATTCATGCAGGAAGACCAGCCTAGCAAAAAGCCTAGATATTAGATTAAAATATCTTAGATAAAATTGAAATAGCTTGGATAAGATTTATAAAGGGGGCAGGAAGGTTTATCATCTGGACTGCATAGCAAGAATGCCGTGGGTTTGAGGTTTGGTCTGAAGTGGGCTTTTCCGCATAGAGTTTACGTAATCCTTGTTTGTGTGGGTCCTCTGACTTCCATCCATGTGTTTGTTAGGTAAACTGCTCTCTTTAACAAAAGTGCAGCACAAAACCTCTCTCAGCATTAAATGGTAGATTACATGAAAAACAGAGAGCTGCATCACTGATAGCCTCTACTTCATTAAAACAAAGTGGCAAATAGTCCTTATTGATTAATGGTTAGTCGATTGATAAGATGAACTGTAGATTAATAACATGCATACAAACCCTGTGCCCCCAAAAAATACCCACCATCTGGAAGGTGAAGTGCTTCCAGAGGATCCTCCAACGTCATTGCAGTTGGACTGGAAAGCCTGCATTTCTCTTAGAGGATGAATCATTTTATGAAGGGTGCTGTTTCATTTGCACTTCACTCAGCTCTGACTCATCTGCAACATTCCACCGCCTATGTTAGGATACTTTTTGTGTTCTTTAGCTCAGCCTTCAACATTGTGCTTCCTGACATGCTGGCACTAAAGCTCCACAACCTACTTTATCTGCATTTCTTTGCCACTGGTTCAGTGACCTCGTCACCAACAGAGCCAGGTGGAGAGGGTAGGGAAACCCACATCTTTCCCACTAAACCTCCAAACTGGCATGCTTCAGGGTTATGTTCCCGACCCTGCCACCTTCAGTCTATTCACACAGGCTGCTCTGATATCAACAAAACAAATATGATTGTGAGATTTGCAGACATAACCAATGCTGTACGTCTCATGTCAGTAAATTATTAGACCCTTTACAGAAAAGAAGTCCACAGTGTGGCACAGTTGCAAGAAGTTCTAAATCCATTTTTTCACTTTTTTCGATACCAGAACTGCTTGCTTTAAAGTTCACTCTTGTAGATATATATTATAAGATATATATGATATATAATATGTATTACACTATATATATATATATATATATATATATATATATATATATATATATATATATATATATATATATATATATATATATATATATATATATATATATATATATATATATATATATATATATATATGTATATAGTGTATGCACATATACAAGGTCAGAAAAGGAAGTCATAAAAATCATAAATCATGTTATGAGGACAGATTTCATCCTGTAAGCAAAACTGCAACTGTCATGATCGGTTTCCTTAATGGAGACCCAAAGATGCAGAACACCACTGACGGACACAGGATGAAAAGTTTTATTTGCACAGTTTCACTGAATATGCAGAAGGCTGGTTCAGGCCTGGATTCTGGTTTCACCGGAGTCTGCGTGAGAGACAGCACAGTTAAGGACTGTTGACGGGGTTTGGTTTCCAATGAAGCACAGATAGTACCTTGAGGGTTCTTGAGGTTCTCTTTGGGAGAGTCACTGTTGGTTCTGGAGAAGGATTTAGTTGCAGAGTCCGTTAGCTGCTTCAGCGTCTCACGTCTAGTTTGAGCAGACCTTGGCATTGGTTTCCCAGCTCTAGCCCAGAGCTGCTTGGAGGTTGTCTGAGGATCTTCAGGGTTTGGCTCGGAGGGTCGGCTCGGCAGGTTAGCTCTTCCAGAGCTTTCACGGGGGAAGCACGAGTTTCCTAGAGGCACAGAAACAGAAGTTAGAATCCAACTAGGGATTAGAGTCATGGAGATAATCACTGAGATCAAGGCTTTAGCGCTGACCAACTGGAACAACACTGCGGCGTTGAGGCAAGGTCTGAAGACAGCTTATGTAGTGGATCCTCTGATGATCTTGATGAGCTGCACCTGTGCAGGAGGCTCCCTCAGAGGATCCACGGCGGACTCTGCTGGAGAAAGATGGGATTTTCTCCAGCTCCCAACAGCAACTGCAAGAGTTTTAAACAAAATCAAACACAGATGTACATGAAGGGGCAAACCTTTGTGTTGTTCAAGACATTTTTGACCCAACGTAAATGTATTACAGGAATAGGCTGAATAGATTTGCCCCTATGAATGACTTCCGTTTCCAGCAATACCTGATCTAGAATTTTCTTTACAATACCAATATTAATAACAGATCCGTGTTCTGGCAGCTCTCTCGTACTTTCACTTTAAGTTAATTACGTTTTTTTTTTTTTTTTACATAAATCATCTTGTTTCCTTGGCAAATTGTTTAACTTGCCTGCTTGAATCAAAATAAAACACACTTATTTCAATCAAAATTGTCTGAGTTATATTTTCATTTTTGCAGAGGTCCTGGAACACCAACAGTGTGTAGGCTGCTTAAAGTTCCTGGGCATTTCTCATACATTTCCCATTCCCATACATTTCTCCTGGACAGAGAACATCTCCCACGTGGTGAAGAAGGACCAACAGTAATTCTTATTATTTGAAAAAGTTGAAAAGTAAAAGGACTATCTACATGTCTAGTCAAACTTGAAAAAAAAGATAATTAAAAGTGTCCTGAGTCTCAGTGTGGCAGAGTTGTATAAAAGCTGCCTGTCGCAGGAGGGGAAGGACTTAGCAGATGTAGTGAGGAGATGACTGAAGATGGTGGATCGCTGTCTATCAGATCTGGACTGGGTTTATGAAACTGGGGTCTAGAAAAAGGCCCAAAATGCATTGCCACATAGGCCATCTACACTATTAATGCAGCATTTGTCCCACTCCCATCAGATAGCATAAAAGGTTCAGAAACATTAAGTCAACATAGGACAGTTTATTTCCTCAAGCTGTGGTCAGAGGTGTTAAGTAATTAAGTGCAATACTTTGTTACCTTACTTAAGTAGAAATTTTGGCTATCCATACTTTACTTTTAATTATCTCTACTTCCAACTCCTTACTGTACATTATAAAAATAGACTAGTTGTTTTGTTTTTTCATTTAGGCTCATTTTTATTATGTTAGTATTTGAAAAAAATAAAATAAAATAGCTGTTTTCCTCGAGACAATTCATTTCTTTGTGGTTGGAATCAGTACTGCACCAGTTTTTTGAATACCAAAATAATTTTTCAAGATTATGCAAAGTTAAATTCGACATTGTTACCATGAGTTATTGTAGTAGGAAAAATTATTCAACTATTTATCAAATAAACGGAGATCGATGGATTTCACTCAGTCGGCACATTTATTCATATCTTTGCAAAGAGAGAACAGTTCATCATACAGTCCTTATGGCACAGCATTCTGCCCTGTTCTGCATGAGCAGCGTTCGTTCGTTCCCCCTCACAATAATGGAAAAGTAGTCAGAGTCAAAACAAATTACAGACACTTTGGTTAAACAGTAACATGTTATGAATAAACCTTGAGAAAGAATCTGGTTTGTTGTGGGAAGAAGCTATGTCCGGTCTACAAACACTATCCTGCAGAGAACGGTGTGGCCTTCAAGGTGAAACAGACTGAGTGAAAACTTTTCTCGTACTCGTCCTCTCCCGCTTTATCCGGAACCGGGTCGCGGGGGCAGCAGACTAAGCAGAGACTCCCAGACTTCCCTCTCCGCAGACACCTCCTCCAGCTCTGCTGGGGGAAGCCCTATGCGCTCCCAGGCCAGCCGAGAGACGTAGTCTCTCCAGCGTGTCCTGGGTCGTCCCCTGGGCCTCCTCCCAGTGGGACGTGCCTGGAACACCTCCCGAGGGAGGCGTCCAGGGGGCATCCGAAGAAGATGTCTGAGCCACCTCAACTGACTCCTCTCAATGTGGAGGAGAACCGGCTCTACACTGAGCCTCTCCCGAATGACCGAGCTCCTCACCCTATCTCTAAGGGAGAGCCCAGCCACCCTGCGGAGGAAGCTCATTTCAGCCGCTTGTATCCGGGATCTCGTTCTTTCGGTCATGATCCAAATTTCATGACCATAGGTGAGGGTAGGAACATAGACCGAACGGTAAATTGAGAGCTTTGCCTTTTCGCTCAGCTCTCTCTTCACCACGACAGACCGGTGCAGCGTCCGCATTATTGCAGCAGCCGCACCGATCCGTCTATCGATCTCCCGCTCCATTCTTCCCTCACTCGTGAACAGGACCCCAAGATACTTGAACTCCTCCACTTGAGGCAGGGACTCTCCTCC